TATTTAGAATTTTACAGTTACAACTTAAGATTTTTATTTGTATTGCAGCAAATTGTAAGTGAAAATATGTTACTACATATAAGCGCAAAAACAAATGCAAATGTTGGAAAATTTTAATTACGAAAAACGAACACAATTATGGCATACAAACAAAAAACACTAGAAACAAAACAAAAGCAACACAAGAGAGACGTTTAGTGCTAAGATACGTTTAAAGTACATAATAAAAGAAAAACAAAAGAAAAGCGAACACACCTGCATTTAAATGGAGTTAACACACACTTTGTCGACTTGAATACATATAGTACATTTATTTGAGTCAGTTGCAAACAAAGGATCGTTTGCTTCGGGTGGTAAGTTCTATTCTAAATGCTACATAACACCATGTACGGATTAGCAAGCCTACGCAGCTACTAATCATGCGTCAAGATACATTTACAGACTGATTTTAGTTCGCTTGCTTGCTTTTCGCACTTTTAAAACATGTTTACGTTTACAACGCTCAGATATATAGTATAGGTAATAAAGTACTTATAGGGTTGGTATGTTTCGGTTTTCGCTTTGTAAAATTCCTCTTTTCTAGCATTATCATTTCGCATTAGTTATGCACTTATAACACACGTACTGCCCCAGCTCCGAAAAATACTAATATTTGGATTTCGCTACGGAATGAACAACATCTATGAGTAGAACTGGAAGATAAAGTAATGCGATTGCTGAGGCGGGTTCTATATGTAGTAGTTCTTGGAATTTACATTGCATTCTCGAGCTTAACACAAGCCAGGCCTGCTAGGAAACCTTGTACACACAACATGGAATACGATGCCTTAACTATCCATAGTTTGCTTTCATATACATGTGGTTCTTTTGAGTCAACTGTGGACAATAACAATGTGATCAAACCCATGAATAGGTTTTCTACGACTACTACTTATTTGTTTTTAAGTTGGAATCAATAATTGAATTTTGTTCAGTAACACAGAACTGATAAATGGGAACATTTCTTCGAAACTGATAAAAACCATCAGCGAAAAGAACATTCTTCAAATCCGGTTGGTTTCTTGGATAGTGGTGTTGGGTGCTTTAAAACTAAGATTATGTGTTGTGGTCTTTTCTGTTTGGTAGTACCTCTGTTTGTAGATATATACATCCTTGGATACATGTATTTCGTATATAAACGAGTCTATCAAAACATCATTGTAAAATAAAATTAATTCGTTTCAACAGCGCACAATAAATTGGTAAATCAGCGCAGGGATTCGTTAGTCACTAATAACAAAATCATTAACATAGCAGACACAGGGTATACAGTCGCCTCATACTTGGTCCACCATCCATCTAAAAGAAGCGAGTCAGGCGGGGCCGGAAGAAACGGAAGGCACCGTAGCATCCGAGGCCAATCAGGCCGTACTTCAGCGTGTACTTGCAGACACGTTGCCCCAGGCTGGCCGGCGGAATTTCGAGGATGGCCGGAATCTTCATCGGGTCCACGTTGCCCCACATCTTGGCAATGCCGTTGGCGTGTCCGATGCCCACCACTCCGACCACACGTACCGGACGGATCTGTTGGGCACCTGGCGCCGCCTGCGGCAGCGCAGCCAGTTGCAGAGAGTGGCACAGGAAAAGGTCCCGCTCGCGTACAAACACATCCGAAAAGGCAGGAAACTCGCCGGCCATCTCCTGCATCAGCTTCTCCAGCAGATCGCTTTGCTTGCACTCCTCGACCTCCTCAATGCTAATGCTGTCCGTGAAGGTAAGACGCCACACTAGCTTCATGGTCTGCCACAGGGACAAAGCGCGCAGTGCGCGGTAAAGTGTGATGCGGATTGGACGATCGCCCAAATGTAAGATGCAGCCGGGAAGCTTGTGAATCTCCTCAAAGGCACGGCGAAACTCTCCACCGGGCGCCATTCCCAGGTCCTTGGCGATCTGGGCGCTCATCTGTAGCAGTAGGATGAAAAAGATACCATTGATGTAGCCATGCGTGTGCAGGATTCCGCGAATCTATGGGGATTATAAAAATATTCAGTTACTCAGTTCAATTTGTAGTATATTAATTCTTACCTTGGGAATATTTATGCTTTTGGCTTCTTCCAACAGCGTCTTCTCATCGAGCTTCAGGATGTGTATGCGCGATGGGCACAGCTCTACCATTACCACATCTGGACGGACATTGCGAATGACCTGAGGAAGTCATACAACATTAAACCCAGTTCTTAAGTATTAAGTAAGCAACTCACATAAGATACGTCATCCTGCGACTCCTCGCTGAAGTGGGCTGTGCCCACAAGATATACCTTGCTGCCGAAGGGCGTGTTCAACAACGTCACCGTCGACGGCAGATTCTGTTCGAACTCCTCAATGGTATCGTAGATTGTGATTTCGCGCTTGGTCTGCGGCTGATCGATGACCGGCACCAGATCCCGCTTCCCGCCATCGCCATCGGCGGCTGCCGAAGCTTCAGCGATGGAAATGTCCAATTTTTGTTTGCTCGTGTGCAGCAGCGATTCCTTGCGGCGTCTCTTGTCAGCGTTTGTCGATGTCTCCTTGCTGGGCGACTTCTTTAAAAGATTCTTCACACTGTCGCCCTCCACCAACAACACCTTCTCGAGGTCCTCCTCCTTAATCGAGTTGTCGTTAATTTCTATAATTGACAGGTTGGGATTATCCGTCTTAAATATTGTCTTGTTGGCCAGTTGTGACTTGGGGTCCACCTCCTCCTGCGAGGTATTTGTGTCCGTGCTCTCCGACTGAATCAGCAGCATGCTGGCATTGAGAGCTGGCGTGGCATTGTTAAAGGCTGCCGGGGATCCGAGGCCTTTGAATGCAGCCGATTCATTTCCAAATTCTGCACTGGCTGTCTTGTTGACCAAATTCGAGGGGCCCAGTGGATTCTGGCTCAGTTCGCTGATAAGGCTCTCTGTGGATTGTTTTTTAAATAAAAAAAAAAAATTAGTTGGTCCAGGGTAAAACACCAAATTTACTTAATATGCAACATAAAATATATAAGAAATATAAATTGTATAACGATTTTGTCCTTGAACGATTGTCGAAATCTTCAGATAATCATTATGATTCGAGAGGTTGTATCTTAAAATTATTGATGGTGTTTTGTTCTAAACATAACCACGAAAATATAAATTATTCTTTTAAAGTTTTCTGTTCATATAGAATTTCCAGCTTCTTGAGATAATCTTTGCCGCAACTTTGATCTAGGCAGTCGGTTAAGAGGAACTGCTTCAACAGATCGAAGCACTTTTGCTTCATGGCTAAAGCGTTTCTCTGTTGGCTTTCTTCTTGTCTTAGCAACTGGTCCTCATACTTTTGAATTAGCCTCTGCTTAAGCTTCTTAACCTTCTCATTGAGAGTGTCTTTAAGGTAAGGCTTCTGATTTTCGTAGGCATGCATGCACATTTTCTGCACTATTTGCTTCAGTTCATAGTCCATCGTTTTAAAATGATCTCTAAGTTTCCCATCCTCCGCAAATGGCTCAAATATTTGCGAAATTAAATTTTGTGGAAACGTCTCGGGCGCTTGGGATTGCAGACTTTGTCGGGCTGCGATCATAAGTGTTTTCTTTATACTACGACTGAAGCTCAGCTTGTGGGTGCTCTGCAGCTTAAGTTTCGCGATAGTTTGCTTCTGATGGCTTGTTTGGATTTGTAGGGCAACGAGCTTCAGTTTGAGCGCCTCAACCTTGCGATCCAGTTGGTCGTGCTTATCTATGAGGTCCCTTTGCAGGTAAATAGCTCCCGAAGATAAGGTCCCTTCGCTTGAATCTCCTATATTCTCGGGATCTGCGAAGGGACCGCTGTTGTGGTGACCCATTTGGGTTAACTTGTAGTCCATATCCGTTTCCTGCTCGTATGTAGCGAGGTCTACTTGCTGAAACTTCTCTGCTTTCGAGGATAACGGGCTCTCCGTTTGCAGATCTTTGTTAATCAGGATCTTGAGGGCTTTGTATAGGATTGGCTGCTTACCATTGCACGATTTGTAAGCCGTGGTGGACAGCTGGTGATCTAGGGCACTGTCGTACAAAGTGTTGTCGCCCACGTAGGTGCTGTTTCTCTTGTCCGGCGAGGATTCGAACGACGTCGAGGCGGATACGTCCATGGTCGGGGGTCGTGTTCAGTTGGAAGCCCGGTAGAATCGGTTGCGAGTGGAAATTCGGTCTCGGTTGCTGGCGAGGCGACGTTTGAACATCTGGCGAAGAACTGCGAAGTACCAAGAGTTGAAGAGCGATTATCAGAGGCATATATATAGATAATACGTTGCCTTACTCTCTGCAAACTGCAAATTTGTATCACTTTTCTGCCTACGTGTCGTACATTGCCAGATGATTTTGTTCAGTCGGTTTTTCTCGACTGACTTTTCAGTCTGCGCCACTTACGTACACACATTTGTGCTCCATATATTTGTGTCAGAATTTCTGTAAATCACCTGGGTATTCCGTGATTTCCAATTTACTCACCTGAAAATTTGTTTTTAGTGTGGGTGTTGTTGCACTGCTGGATGTTTGGGGCGCATTGGTTAAACCCTTAATTGACGACTATCTGCTGATTGAAAACTCAATTCGGTTGGCGCTGATTGCGTTTCTGATTTGGTGCGTACTGTTAATTTAAATAAAAACCCAAAAAACTAAAGAAATTAAATTGTGATTAAATTCTTCTTGCTAGCGTCGACCAGTGTTGCCTAATGCTTGAAACGGAATTATAAGAGCGACTCTTGTACGATATAAGAGTAATCGATTTCGGGCTCGATTAACGGCTATCGCGATAAGGCGCCAATTATTGAAGACTTAACTATTTGTAAAATTGTCAAACGCATACAACACGCAGACATGCTTATTTATTTTTTTTTTTGTTCAACATAGTTTATTGTTAAAATAGATATGGGTCTTACCATACATGTGTACATGAAGTGTACATTTTTTTTATTTTGAGTATAAGAGGTGATAACTAATTTTAAATAAGTTTTAGGAGTGCCCCTAATATGCCCGTGGTATTTTTGTCCGGCCAGTTAGGGTCACACTTTTGTTTTGTTTTGCTGTGCAACTCGGCTTTTAAAATTGCAATTGCAGCATGGCCGAAGAACCCGAGGAACCCGCCAAGGTATGGATTACATAAATCGATTGAACAGCAAGTACTTGATAAGGCGCTAACTATGGATATCCCCCACAGAGCTTCGTTATCTTCGGGCGCGATGTGGCGCAGATCCCGTGCTTTCGTAACAGTTTTCTCTACGGAATCAGCGGAGGAATCGGCATCGGCGTGCTGACTTTTCTGGGCACCTCGCGAACCCACCTGTCCACCCACGTGGGATTCGGCTCCTTCTTCTGCGGCACTATCGCCTACTGGGTGGCCTGCAGGTAAGGGGCGCGGTTTAATCCGTGCGGCTCCTTTATAACTGCTATCAATGTTCAATCCGCAGGTATCAGTGGTCCGCCAGGAGATTCGAGCAGCAGCAACTTCGGGAGGCGATGAGACGACAGGCCCTTTATGAGGGCACCCAAGTCGAGAGGGACTTAGATCTTAAGTCGGCGTAGCATTAGTCGGATCCTTTATTACCACTTCGATGTTTCTTTTCCTACTGGGATAACAAGTAATTTTGGCTTTGTTAAATCCCTTGTGTTGTAAACTACCTTTTGTTACCAAACAGCTTTATAGTAGCCAATATATTATATATATATTGTAAGTGAAATCTTGCCTTGGAGTAATTCATGCCCCAAATTATTGGACACTCGTAAGGAATTATTTATGCCAGCATCTTTGGTTTGGGCTATCTATCCATAATTTTAATGAGCAGTGGAAGCTTATAATGGTTCCTAAAATAATTTTGGTTTTACTGTGCTTCCGATTTGATTTAAGCTAACAGTGTTAGTCGTTTACTTTTGTAAAACATTGAACCTAGATTAAACTTCAGTTTATCTTTAATGGACTTTTATATTTTCAATAGTTTTTTACATTTATATAAAGGCAATCATTGACAGTTTAAAATTTGTATATTTAATACGTTTTGGTGCTTAAAAGTGTTATTAATGCACAGTTTTACAGAACATCGATAAGTATTTATAAATATAGTTAGTATACTTTTTACTTGAGTGAGAGTCGTTTCACAAATCAAAATGTCAGGGTAAAAAAGTTAGGTACTTTTAAGCTTTATGTGACTGCTGTTCGTAAATGGTTCGTGGTTCAAAGTATCTTAAAGCAACCTTAAATTGATATAGGTATATGTATATACTCTAATATAAATATTTTTGTTTTATATTTTTAATCGACATTCAAGAAACGTAGGCGGTAAATGAGAGTAATTGTAATGCCAAAAGAAGTAATAACAGTTCTCAAAATAGGAAAGCTGCAGCTCTTATGTATATTGAATAGTGATCAGTAAGGTTGTATCTGCCAGATATCTCTCCTACCTGACTACACCGATCTTGGAAGAGTATCTGCTCTGATCCGAGATAAGAGATCGGGCAATTGCTGCTTAGACATGGCTACTTCCACGCACATGTAGGCGATCCTGATTCGTCGGGCACTCGTCTTATCTCACAAAATAAAAGTCGGTGCTGGGATGGATTGCTCGGCTGTTGGCACATTCATTACGTTTTCGTTAACGGCGCGAGGCGGTTGTGTTTTGTAATCAGCGGCTGCATGAGGTTGTCGGTTCTCTAATTTTGAAATAAAAAACTTGTTTTCGCTTTACATTCAAAGAACAACCTCCCCATATATGTAAACGAATCGTAATTGCAGGCTATTACTTATATAGGCATTGGTACTGAGATACTGTGAGATACAGATACAGCACTTCACGATGTCGAACTCGATTTTGGTGTTTTTCGTGAATGGAAAGAAGGTACTTAAAGATACTCGGTTGTCTTATGCCGTGCGTGTCTTCATTTGGGTGACATTTAAAGTTAGCCCACTCCCATATCGATTTCATTTTATTATTTTATTGCTCTAATTGTGTTTAACTGGCATTCCATGGAATTCGCCTTCTTGATCAATTGAATGTGCCGTGTATATATAGTATTTGCTGATAACAATTGACCCCCATGTGGAGCCTCGTTGTTTGCTGGTGGCCCCTTATCACCCGATCAAGATGATGCATTGCCAATCGCATGGGAACAGTGCTACTCGGGTTGGGTGAGGTGGTATCGTCGTGGACATGTGCTTCTGCCAGATAGCCAGGCCCTCTAATCCGCAAATTCCGACTGGCTTTGCAGTGTTTACACTGTGGCGCACAATCCATTAAGCTCGGCTGGATTATTCAGATAAAGCTACCCCTATTTAGCATCTGCTGTGGGTGAAGTGTAATTAGAGTTCGTAACAGTTTGTGCTGAATAATAAATAAACAACTTGTTTCTCGCGCGGCATTTGATAGTGATAGATAACAGAGCTTGATTGCTCAGGGCTGGTGGAGCAGAGAATACTTTCGCTGTTTTAAGTTTAAACAAAGTCACTCAGGTTTCACAAACAATTGCTGTAAGCCTATTAAAATTACGATTATAGATCACCGGGCTTCACAAACGCAGATCTAGAAGATACAAGCGATTCCTGAGCTCAATATTTGAAATAGTTTTTATGAAGTACATATTCAATCAGTAAGGTGCCTAAATACCATTTTTAAATAAAACACAACCTAAAAACTTTCAATTAAATGACAGATTAATGGCAATATCTAATTTTGGGGAATTAATTTGTAAAATTTATGAACTCCTTTCATATTTTCATCTAAATATATCAATATTCTTGATTCCAGGTGACCGAAGTGGCTCCAGATCCGGAATGCACGCTCCTCACATTCCTGCGCGAAAAGCTGCGGCTGTGCGGAACGAAGTTGGGCTGTGCGGAGGGTGGCTGCGGCGCCTGCACCGTGATGGTGTCCCGCCTGGACCGCTGGGCCAACAAGATTCGTCACCTGGCGGTCAACGCCTGCCTCACGCCAGTGTGCGCCATGCACGGCTGTGCGGTGACCACGGTGGAGGGCATCGGGAGCACCAAGACCCGCCTGCATCCGGTGCAGGAGCGACTGGCCAAGGCACACGGATCGCAGTGCGGCTTCTGCACACCGGGCATCGTGATGTCCATGTACGCACTGCTCCGGAACGCGGAGCAACCGTCTATGCGGGACTTGGAGGTGGCATTCCAGGGTAACCTTTGCCGCTGCACTGGCTATCGACCCATCCTCGAGGGCTACAAAACCTTCACCAAGGAGTTCGCCTGCGGAATGGGCGAGAAGTGCTGCAAGGTTAGTGGAAAGGGGTGCGGAACCGATTCGGAGACCGATGACAAGCTCTTCGAGCGCAGCGAGTTCCAGCCCTTGGATCCCAGCCAGGAACCCATCTTTCCACCGGAACTTCAGCTGAGTGACGCCTTCGATGCGCAGAGCTTGACATTCAGCTCGGACAGGGTGACCTGGTATCGGCCCACCAATCTGGAGGAGCTCCTCCAGCTGAAGGCCAAGCATCCGGCTGCTAAGCTGGTCGTGGGCAACACGGAAGTGGGCGTTGAGGTTAAGTTCAAGCACTTCCTCTACCCGCACCTCATTAATCCCACCCAGGTGAAGGAGCTGCTGGAGATCAAAGAGAGCCATGATGACATTTACTTTGGTGCGGCTGTCAGTTTGATGGAGATCGATGCCCTTCTCCGGCAGAGAATCGAGCAGCTACCGGAATCGGAGACCAGGCTGTTCCAGTGCGCCGTGGATATGCTTCACTACTTTGCCGGAAAGCAGATCCGCAATGTCGCCTGCTTGGGTGGCAACATCATGACTGGTAGTCCCATTTCCGATATGAATCCTGTGCTCTCGGCAGCAGGAGCTCAATTGGAGGTGGCCAGCTTCGTGGATGGGAAGATCCGAAAGAGATCAGTTCACATGGGAACTGGCTTCTTCACTGGCTATCGCAGGAATGTTATCGAAGCCCACGAGGTGCTGCTGGGCATCCATTTCCGGAAGACCACTCCGGATCAGTATATCGTTGCCTTCAAGCAGGCTAGGAGGAGAGATGATGACATAGCCATCGTAAATGCCGCCATAAACGTTCGCTTTGAAGAAAAATCCAACATTGTGGCGGAGATTTCGATGGCCTTCGGTGGCATGGCACCCACCACAGTGCTAGCTCCTCGAACTTCCCAGCTGATGGCTGGTCAGGAGTGGAGCCACCAGCTAGTGGAGCGCGTGGCGGAGAGCTTGTGCACGGAGCTGCCTTTGGCTGCCTCTGCGCCCGGTGGCATGATCGCCTATCGTCGAGCTCTGGTGGTGAGCTTGTTCTTCAAGGCCTATCTGGCCATCTCCCTGAAGTTGAGCAAGTCCGGGATCATGTCCTCCGATGCCTTGCCTCCGGAGGAGCGAAGTGGTGCCGAGATATTCCACACATCCGTCCTCAAAAGTGCTCAGCTCTTCGAACGCGTCTGCAGCGATCAGCCCATCTGTGATCCCATTGGAAGACCCAAAGTCCATGCAGCTGCTTTGAAACAGGCCACCGGAGAAGCTATCTACACCGATGACATTCCCCGCATGGATGGGGAAGTGTATCTCGCCTTTGTCCTCAGTACCAAGCCACGTGCCAAGATCACTAAGCTGGATGCCAGTGCAGCATTAGCCGTGGAGGGAGTGCATCAGTTCTTTTGCCACAAGGACTTGACTGAGCATGAGAACGAAGTGGGTCCCGTGTTTCACGATGAGCACGTCTTTGCCGCTGGTGAGGTTCATTGCTATGGTCAGATTGTGGGCGCCATAGCGGCCGATACTAAGGCGTTGGCGCAAAGAGCCGCACGTCTGGTGAAAGTGGAGTACGAGGAGCTGGGCCCGGTCATCGTGACCATAGAGCAGGCCATCGAGCACAGGTCCTATTTCCCGGACTACCCACGATTCGTGACCAAGGGCAATGTGGAGGAGGCTTTGTCCCAGGCGGATCACACTTTTGAGGGCACCTGTCGAATGGGCGGGCAGGAACACTTCTACCTGGAGACCCATGCCGCATTGGCAGTTCCCCGCGACAGCGATGAGCTGGAGCTCTTTTGCTCCACGCAGCATCCCTCGGAGGTGCAGAAACTAGTGGCCCATGTCACCGCACTTCCTGCCCACCGTGTGGTCTGCCGTGCCAAGCGATTAGGTGGCGGTTTCGGTGGCAAGGAGTCCAGAGGCATCTCCGTGGCCCTTCCCGTTGCCCTGGCCGCCTATCGAATGGGTCGTCCTGTGCGCTGCATGTTGGATCGCGACGAGGACATGCTCATCACGGGCACACGGCATCCCTTCCTCTTCAAATACAAAGTGGGCTTCACCACGGAGGGTCTAATTACTGCCTGTGACATCGAGTGCTACAACAATGCCGGCTGGTCCATGGATCTCTCATTTTCGGTAAGTAAATAGCCTTTAGGTAGAAACCACATCTAAGATTATTTACGCATACAATGTTTGCTTTAAAACCCATGTGTGTTTTTACCATGGAACATATGTTTTGTGTGGGAATTGCTAAAACCCCGATAGGTTTTATCATGAGTGTAAGCACTTCTAAATTTCCAAGAATATATAAGTCAAAAAAATAAAACATGTACAAGGATTAGCTTGACCATACATAATGATCTTGAAAATGATCTTGTATGTAAATATAATTTTCAGGTTCTGGAGCGCGCTATGTACCACTTTGAGAACTGCTACAGGATACCGAACGTGCGAGTGGGTGGATGGGTCTGCAAGACGAACCTGCCCTCGAATACGGCCTTCCGTGGCTTTGGCGGTCCACAGGGCATGTACGCCGGAGAGCACATCATTCGGGATGTGGCCCGGATAGTGGGCCGTGATGTGGTGGAGGTGATGCGGCTGAACTTCTACAAAACCGGAGACTACACACACTATCACCAGCAGCTGGAGCACTTCCCCATCGAGCGGTGCCTGGAGGATTGCTTGAAGCAGGCGAGATACAACGAGAAGCGATTGGAGATCGCGCGATTTAATCGGGAGAATCGCTGGAGGAAGCGTGGCATGGCGGTGGTGCCCACCAAGTATGGAATCGCATTTGGTGTGATGCACTTGAACCAAGCGGGTTCGCTGATCAACATCTATGGTGATGGATCCGTGTTGCTTTCCCACGGCGGAGTTGAGATCGGACAAGGTCTGAATACCAAGATGATTCAGTGCGCCGCCAGGGCTCTGGGTATTCCACCCGAACTGATTCACATTTCGGAGACGGCCACGGATAAAGTACCCAACACTTCTCCCACGGCGGCGAGTGTGGGATCCGATCTGAACGGAATGGCCGTGCTGGATGCTTGTGAGAAGTTGAACAAAAGACTTGCGCCCATCAAGGAGGCAATGCCTGGAGGCACCTGGAAGGAGTGGATTAATAAGGCGTACTTCGATCGGGTCAGTCTCTCGGCCACCGGTTTCTACGCCATGCCCGGTATCGGATATCACCCGGAAACGAATCCCAATGCCCGCACCTACAACTACTACACGAATGGCGTGGGAGTCAGTGTAGTAGAGATCGATTGCTTGACTGGCGACCATCAGGTGCTCAGCACAGACATCGTCATGGACATCGGCTCAAGCCTGAATCCGGCTATTGACATTGGTCAGATCGAGGGTGCATTCATGCAGGGCTATGGACTGTTTACTCTGGAAGAGCTAATGTATTCCCCGCAAGGCATGCTCTACTCCAGGGGTCCGGGCATGTACAAGCTACCAGGATTCGCCGACATTCCCGGCGAGTTCAATGTCAGCCTACTGACCGGTGCCCCCAATCCACGGGCAGTCTACTCCTCCAAGGCGGTAGGAGAGCCTCCTCTCTTCATAGGATCCTCTGCATTCTTCGCCATCAAGGAGGCCATTGCAGCTGCTCGAGAGGATCAGGGCTTGAGCGGCGACTTCCCACTGGAGGCGCCTTCCACCTCGGCCCGCATTCGAATTGCTTGTCAGGATAAATTCACCGAACTGGTAAGCGATCCATAGCATAAGTAAATATGAAACTAAAGCATTTAACATTTGTATATTTATAGCTTGATATACCCGAACCGGGTTCATTTACGCCATGGAACATTGTGCCTTAAAATGGTTTTTATTGTTTGTAGCTGATGGATTATGCATTTGAAATAAAGGTTTTATTTGTAAATTTGTTTATATACATACATGTATAGGGAATTAAATGTTTTGAAAATATTGGAGTGCTTTGTTTTTGTATATTAACAAAACTGGACAGCTGTTTAAACATAATGGGTTTTTTTAAACAGAAATAAATAAATGCAGAGGGGACAGAATAATAATTTAAACTAATTTTTTTGTACCTTCAATTAATATAGTGCTAATGGTTTCTGATTTTCAATTGAAAAGTCTTAGTCACTAGTTATTTTAAGCACATTAATAAAGTTTTCCGATCAATTGAAATATGAATTGCTATTTCAACGCGTCTGCTACCCGAAAATATAAGCTCAATCAAAAGAAGCTTTATATATGGGACTCAGGTTATGCGAGACGAGATCTTCGCGAGCATCTCATTCGGCAATCTGACGTCGAAGAGCTCGGACATCCGAGATGGGAACGCTGTATGCGGGATATAGTTTGCTTCTAGAGCTCTTGTTCATTTCGGCGTCATCGTTCGTATCTTTCAAACAATTGTAGCTTTCACTACAACCATTCTGACCATAGATATGCACAGAATGCTCCTTGGAACGGAGTGGCTCCATCGTATCTATCGATTGACGTCTACGGAAACTGCCAAGCCCACGATCGGCCACTGATTGGAAAATGTGTGAGGTACGTGGACTGCATCAGTGCCATGCAGGCAGTTCCCCGGGTGACACCACTGCTCTGTCCGTCATCGTGGCCGAATCAGCTGGTTTGCTGTCCACACGGTGGATACTTGATGCCGCCGCCCAGCATCTCGAAGAGCGAACAAGGTGCGTATGGCGAGTATGGCTTGCTATTGTTTGGGTATCCAGAGTCTATATCTTTTGCCAGCCTGTGCCAATGCGTATCCAAGAGTTCCTCATAAGCGCCGTCGACGCCGTCGGAATACAAACCCTGAAACCCTGGATCAAGTGGAACTAGTTGAGCCAATTATACAAAAGCGCAATCAGAGCCAGAACTTGCTGGTGGGTGGCAGACTCACTCAGGAGAACGAGCATCCCTACATGGTGAGTGGAAAATAATGAGAAAATAGCTCAATAGTTAGCCACTCAAAGCGAAAGAAAGAAAAATATGATACTATTTACTTTATATCAAGTTATCAATCAAGTTATACAAGTACCCTATTGAACTTATTTATTTTTTGGAAAACAAATTCGCAATCGAGTATTGTAAGCCATTTGTACAAAGCTTTTGGTAGTCTAACATATTCGATTTGATTACAGTGCGCCCTCGGTTGGCCGTCCCGCACGAACAGATGGATTCATGAGCACGGCTCCAGCAAGCGCAGATACATGTTCAACTGTGGCTGCGTTATGATTGCGCCTCGGTTCGCCATAACGGCAGCCCACTGTGCCAGCGTCGGTGGGTAAGCAAAAAATGAAAAGAAAAATACGATAGAGCGCACACTCAAAATGCTAATGGGTTAAAAACATCACCAATTCGTACAGGGAACCCCCGTCAGTGGCGTTGATTGGTGGCGTTGAGCTGAACAGCGGGCGCGGGCAATTGATAGAAATCAAGCGGATCACCACGCATCCGCACTTCGATGAGGAGACCCTAAGCAATGACCTGGCGGTGGTCAAGCTGGCCAGGAGATCCCACATGCCAGTGGCCTGCCTATGGAACCAGGAATCCTTGCCCGAGAGACCGCTCACTGCCCTCGGCTATGGGCAAACCAAGTTCGGTTAGTGCCACTTGCATCTTCTTTTTGGATTCATCGTATATTTTATTCATTTATTATATATTATACAAGCTGGCCCGCACTCCAAGTATCTGCTGCAGATAATGCTTTACCACCTGAATTTTCAACAATGCCAGCGGTACTTGCAAAGCTATGACAAACTGGCCAATGGACTGGGATCGGGACAAATGTGCGCGGGAGACTACTCCGGCAATATGGACACCTGCCAGGTGAGCAAACCATTAGGTTATTCTAGTTTCTTTCTTTGAAAATTAGTTTTAGAAATATAAGTTTTAATGAACTGGTTACCTGTGATCTCCTTTGATCAGGGCGATTCTGGAGGACCCCTGCTGCTCCACCAACAGATGCGCCACCACCACCATCCGATTCCCTATGCGGTGGGAATAACGTCCTTTGGAGGAGCCTGTGCATCCGGACAACCTGGAGTCTATGTTCGAATATCCCACTACATACCGTGGATAGAGCAACAAGTATGGCCTTGATTCTTCTAAGAAAGTATATGGGTTCCATGGAATTCCAACATTTTAAATACTCATTCATAAATTATTACATTGAAAGCACATGTTGAAAAAGTGAAAAAAATTGAATATTTTATAAAGCATATATAGTAAATAAAATAAAATGAAGCTAGTGCTGCTTGAAGGCAATCTTCTCAATCCAATCCAGGTAGCTATATAGCCTGGTGTAAACTCCTGGCGCATTGGGAGCCGCACAGAATTTTCCGAACGAGGTGATGCCCACCACGAAGGCCACGCAGTTGTATTCCGGCAGCAGGGCATGAATGGGACCGCCGGAGTCACCCTGGCAGGTGTCCCTGCCGCCTGGCAAGTATCCCGCACAGAACTGCCCCTCGATGATGCCCCTTGGCAGACGTCGCTCCTTGCGATAGATCTGTTTGCAGGTCATCTGAGGGACTATGTCCAGGTCCACCTGGCGCAGGACATTCGACTTTGCGCCCAGGAACTCGGTGCGTCCCCAACCGGCGGCCACCACAGTGGGTATTTGGAGCTCAGGCAGTTGCCACAGGCATGCGGGACGCACTTGCTCCGACAACCTGGCCCTTCTGGTCAACTTAAGCAAGGCAATATCGTGGTAATATGCCGAGGATCTGTACTTCGGATGCAGCACAATGATGAGGATCTTAATATCCTGCTGGGCCGAGCTGGTCTCGTTCAACTGGCGGGCACCCAAGCGAACCATGTCCGGCGGTTTGCTGATGGAGCAGAGAATACGGATATAGTTGTGTCTTCGAGGATCCTGTAACTTACCTACCCGAGGTGGCACAGTGGGCAGCGGTCAGGACATACAGCTCGCTAACCAGGGCACCTCCACAGCCCCACTTTATGTCCAGGTCCTTGGAGCCACTGCCCTGCGTCCATCCCAAGGCAGCCATGTGCGGGAAGAGTCCGTGCCGAGTGGGGGTGCCACCAACTATTAGGGGAACGCTGGGCACGCACTGCTTCCCGGAGAATATGCGTCCGGTGTCCGCCAAGTGGAGCCTTCTGGCGGCGGAATTGTACTCCTGGCACTCTGAAAAGGATTATGAAGAGCATCTTTAGGATAAAAAATTATAAAGATTGTGCAGTGTACTTACTGGTGGCACTTATTCGCTGGGCCAGCACATGCTTGTCCGCCAATGGACAACAGATGACTGGGACATTGTTGCGATGGGTGCAGATGTCGATGCGGGTGCCATGCACCCGATACTCGCGGATGACGTGAAGGCACTGATAGGCCAGGATGCAGTACCCACTCCGGCCATCGAAGCTCCGCCGGCAGAAGGCACCCTCGTGCAGTCCATCCGAAATCGGCGTCCTGGCCTCGACATCGTCGCCGAACTTTAAATAGCTTTCCTCATCCTCGGCGTCCTGGATGTCTTCCTCCTCACCATTGGTGGTCACCTGATGCTCTTTCCAAACTTCGGGAATTGTGTACTTGGTGGTCTGGTAGTTGATTATTCCAAGGGCATCGAGAGCTGTGGGATTAATAAATATGAGCACCAGTAATATATACATATGTAGGATACCACTTACCCTCAAGATTTGGAGACTGCAGGATTAAAAGCAAGCATGTCAATTGAAGATGCACGATTAGAGACCAAAGCACTATCATTCTATTTATAAGTTCTGGGGTTTCATTATTTATTTTCTCGCACACATTCCAAAGAAAAGCTGTCATAATATAGAAAATCGGTACTTTTAATAAGAACGGTGAAGTCATAATACTTTAATGCTTTGTATATCTTTTCCGAATTAATAATAAATATTTTGTAAGAAACGGACCCCTATTAATGTGGCTTACTTTTATGAAGGGTAAGAAACTTTTAAGTAGGCAAGAATACTTTTATTAGAAGACAGGGCCCAGAGAAAACTAATTAGCTTCAATATACGAGCCACCACTGTATCCAAAACAAACCCTTGGTTGTCTTGGTGAATTTTTTGTTTAATGTATTTTTATTAATTAATGCGGGCGGGCGCTCAATTATAAATTCGGCTGAATTTCAATAAAACCTATTGCCAGCGCCGCTGCTTTTCGATTCGCTTAGTGTGGATTGGAAGATCCCAGTCGGATTAAATTGGTCAATCGAGCAAGACCTATTCAGATGCCGGATTGGAAGAGACCTTTGGGTTGCATCGCACTCTGTGTGCTGCTGTGCGGACTCCGGGTGAGCGGGCAGTGGGAGTTTCCCGTCCGGTATCCGGAACCGAATCCAGTGCCGGAGCCAAGCAGGTGGGGCTTCAACGACTATAATAGCTACGGTTACAACGGTCAGTGGGCGCCGGACTACTTTAATAACTACGGCTATTATAGACCGCCACCTCCACCACGTCCGCCGCCATGTGGAAGACCACCGCCTGGACCGCCGCGCCCGGGGCCGCCTCCTCATGGTCCTCCACACGGTTGCCACGGAGGTCCAGGAGGTCCAGGAGGTCCAGGAGGTCCAGGAGGTCCTCCTCCACCTCCGCCGCCACATCGCCATTGGGCTAATGCCCCCAGGCATTGGCATCCACGTAGTCCGCCACCAAATCATCATCGCAACTTCCACAACATCTTCCTAAGCATCGAAAGCAAAGTGGATGAGGAGAACTACAACAAAACCGCGGAGATGGAGGATTTGCACGACGACTTCAATGGACGATCCATTGTGGCACCTGGACAGTACCCGCACATGGTGAGTACTAATTAAATGTGCAATTAAAGGTGCAGCCCAGACAAAAATCGTAGATCGACGAAAGCCAAGCAATAAATAAATAAAACCACACGAAACCGGAATGGGGAAACGCCTAAGTACCGCCGTTCACAACACAAACACGACTAAATAGCCGAACCCAAAACCAAATCGAAGCCCCCATATCATATACATATGTTAACAGTTATTGAGTCCGACTAATCCGCTCTTTCCCGATCTTAGGCCGCTCTGGGATTCCGGAACGAGAACCACGAGATCGACTACAAATGTGGGGGAAGCCTCATCAGCGAAAACTTCGTGCTCACTGCTGCCCATTGCTTAACTACTCATGGGTGAGCTTTTTATGGATAAGAACTTATTGAGTTTGTTCTTCGTAATTGAGTGAATTCCGAATTTAAGAGAGATAATAGCTGCTCAACCTTTAAGAGATCTTATGATACACTTAGAAAAATACCAAATAACCTTCATACCTTCAAACCTTCATAATAAGGATTACTTTTATTTTAACAAGCAAAAATATTTCATCAAAATAATAATTAATTAGAATTGATAATATAACAAGTAATTCTCTATAGAACCTCTCCCGACGTCGTGAAAATCGGAGACATTAAACTCAAGGAGTGGGAGGACAACGTGGCACCCCAAATACGACGTGTTTCCCAGATTTATCTGCATCCACTTTACAATGAGAGTCTCAACTACCATGACATCGGGCTCATCCAGCTGAATCGGCCGGTGGAATACACCTGGTTTGTGAAGCCCGTTCGCCTGTGGCCCAAAAACGACATCCCCTACGGCAAGCTGCACACCATGGGCTATGGATCAACGGGATTCGCCCAGCCGCAGACGAACATCCTCACGGAACTGGATCTTTCGGTGGTGCCCATCGAGCAGTGCAACTCCAGTTTGCCCGCCGATGAAGGTGCTCCCCAGGGTTTGCTCACAAGTCAGATTTGTGCCCATGACTATGAGAGAAATCGCGATACTTGCCAGGTGAGAAGCACAAGTTTGATGCTTAAAAAGTTTAAGTACACGAGTATATTATAATTTTATAGGGCGATTCTGGAGGACCGCTTCAACTGAACCTGGAGCGGCGGCGTCGAAGGCACAGAAGTCGAAAACATTACCGCTACTACCTTGTGGGCATCACTTCCTATGGAGCCTATTGTCGCAGTGAACTCCCAGGTAACTCACCTTTGAAATGTAAAATGGAAAATACTTTTACAAATTCACTTATCTCATAGGTGTTTATACGCGCGTTTCATCCTATATCGATTGGATAGCATCTATAGTGTGGCCTAATTATTATAGCGAATTTACTAATCAATAGAAAACTGTCTGTAAAATGTTACAATTGAAAGTTAAAACAAGATACAATTCTATAGTCGAGTTCCCCGACTATCAGATACCCGTTACTCAGCTAGTGGAAGTGCAAACGAGAAATTTTAACATTTTCTGGAATATCGGTAAAAATTGGGAATAAAGGAATAAAATTTAAAAAAAACTTTAAATTTTTTTAAAAGTTTGGGCGTAAGAGTTTTGTGCGATTTGTGAGCGTTAGAGTGGGCGGGGCAACATTTGCGTGGCAAAAACTATAAAGACATAGTGCATGTCTCCGAAAGCTGCATGCTTAATCTCAAAATTCTAGCTTTTGTAGTTCCTGAGATCGAGGCGTTCATACTGACAGACGGACATGGCCAGTTCGACTCAGCTATTGATCCTGATCAAGAATATACACATATATACCTTATTTGGTCGGAAACGCTTCCTTCTGCCTGTTACATACTTTTAATCGAATCTCTACGAGTAACGAGTATAAAAATGTATACTCAAATTTAAAATAAAGCACAGCAAAAAAGTACTTTGTTTAGAAATTTTTCGTGTTGTTGGATGAAATGCAATTGTTACTAGGCACCGCAATGTACGGTAAATGTTTATTTAATCAATAATTTTGACTTGAGATGCAAATAAATTAATAATGGTCGTGAAGAGCAAAAAGAAGCGCAATAGCAAGGATTCTACATCCAGCAACGCAGGAAGTGGTGAAGGCGAGGAGAAGAAGAAGAAAGAGGGCGGCAAGAAGAAAGGGGGCGTGGGAAAGTCCATTGGTTGCGACATTTTCAATGACGCCGCCATGGAAAACGCCTACTATGTGTGCCACAATGTTCAGGTAAGTTAATATTTAGTATGAGTTATTAAAAAATAATCAAGAAAATATATTTTATTTTAGGACGTACTTAAGTCAAGGGGATTTGCTTGGCCAGATGGCCAAAAGAAGAAAAAGAAGGGAAAGCGCTAGAGTGCGAAATATAATTTGAATTATTTTTAGAAATATTCCTCCAATTAAGTTTAAAGTAATAACTAATGAAATCGAAGGCGTACTTCCCCTTGGCCTGGAAAAACGAGAGCAACGTGCTCATATTTATTTTTATGAATCCAAAACGAGACATCATCGATCAAAACCAAACAATTCCAAAAACGCAGCCTGCCCAAAGTAAAATGTCAGTGGCTAACGCTTCTAGAGCAAACACACTTTTCGATTTCGGCGTGTGAAAAATATAGGAATCCAAAATTGTATTTATTTCGTAGAACTCGCCAAATCGGCACCATATAAATAGCTGCAACAATCGGGCTTTTTTCAGTTCAAATTCAGCATTAGTAGTCGCAGCATCGGAAATTGTGGATAATCAGTACACGGAGATTCGTACCCTGGAAAAATGGTGAAAACTCCGGCCATCGGTATCGACTTGGGCACCACCTACTCCTGCGTGGGAGTTTGGCAGAACAGCAAGGTGGAGATCATTGCCAATGACCAGGGAAACCGCACCACGCCCTCCTATGTGGCATTCAACGACACGGAGCGCCTGATTGGCGATCCGGCCAAGAACCAGGTGAGTCTGGGTCTCCATCACGATTGTCCAAATACGCGGATTTCAGTGTAAGAACCGAGGAATTTGGGTGGGATACAAACTTATATGGATAAATAAATAATCTTTGTGATGCATTCAATTGAAAAGGTATCTCAATTTTTTAGGACTTTCAAGCATGAGAACCACAGTTAAATAAACGTCAGTTTATCCAAAAACGTTATTAAAGAGAAAATCATGCATTTCTTTCCGTGAAAGTAGATTGATATTAATAAAATTCTTTAAAAAATGAATTCGAAGCCTTTACAATTTGTTAAAGATTTTGATGTATTATATATAACATTGCCATCATTTCCCAGGTGGCCATGAACGCCAAGAACACGGTATTCGATGCCAAGCGATTAATTGGGCGCAAATTCGACGACAAGAAAATCCAGGAGGACCTAAAGCTCTGGCCCTTCAAGGTCATCAACGAGAAGGGCAAGCCCAAGATCGAGGTGGAGTTCAAGGGTGAACGGAAGCGATTTGCGCCCGAGGAGATCAGTTCGATGGTGCTGACCAAGATGCGCGAGATCGCCGAGGTCTATTTGGGTGGCAAGGTGAAGGACGCGGTGGTCACAGTGCCGGCCTATTTCAATGATAGCCAGCGGCAGGCGACCAAGGATGCGGGCTCCATTGCTGGACTGAATGTGCTGAGGATCATCAATGAGCCCACTGCGGCAGCTCTGGCCTACGGCCTGGATAAGAACCTCAAGGGGGAGCGCAATGTTCTGATTTTTGACCTCGGTGGCGGCACTTTCGATGTCTCCATCCTGACCATCGATGAGGGTTCCCTGTTCGAGGTGAAGGCCACGGCCGGCGACACCCATTTGGGCGGCGAGGACTTCGACAACCGGCTGGTCAATCATTTTGCGGAGGAATTCAAGCGGAAGCACAAGTCGGACATCAAGGGAAATGCCAGGGCCTTGCGACGCCTGAGAACGGCTTGTGAACGGGCCAAGCGGACGTTGTCCTCCAGCACGGAGGCATCCTTGGAGATTGATGCCCTGCACGAGGGCATTGACTTTTACTCGAAGATTTCGCGGGCCCGGTTCGAGGAGCTGAACATGGACCTCTTCCGATCCACCATGCAACCGGTGGACCGGGCACTGAGCGATGCCAAGATGGACAAGAAGGCCATTCACGATGTGGTTCTGGTGGGCGGCTCCACGCGCATTCCCAAGATTCAGAAGCTCCTGCAAGATCTGTTCGGTGGCAAGCAGTTGAATCTCTCCATCAATCCCGACGAGGCGGTGGCATATGGTGCCGCCGTACAGGCTGCCATCCTCACCGGCGTGGGCAGCTCACAGATCCAGGATCTTCTCCTCGTGGACGTGGCTCCCCTTTCGCTGGGCATCGAGACCGCTGGCGGCGTGATGACCAAGTTGGTGGAGCGCAACGCACGCATTCCCTGCAAGCAGCAGCAGATCTTCACCACCTACAGTGACAATCAGAATGCGGTGACCATTCAGGTGTACGAGGGCGAGCGGGCCATGACCAAGGACAACAATCTGCTGGGCACCTTTAACCTCACCGGCATTCCGCCGGCGCCTCGCGGAGTTCCCCAGATCGAGGTGGCCTTCGATCTGAATGCAGATGGCATCCTGAATGTGAATGCAAAGGACAGCAGCACCGGGAGGAGCGAAAAGATCACCATTACCAACGACAAGGGCAGACTTTCCAAAGCGGAGATCGATCGCATGCTCTCGGAGGCGGAGAAGTACAAGGTGGAAGATGATCGTCAGCGTGAGCGGGTTCTGTCCAAGAACAACCTCGAGGGATACATCTACGCATGTCGCCAGGCAGTCGACGATGCTCCATCCGGCGTCCTTTCCGCGTCCGAATGCTCCAAGGTGCGTGACAAGTGCTCCTCCGAGGCATCCTGGCTGGACAAGAACTCGCTGGCCGAGAAGGAGGAGTTCGAGAGTCATCTGAACGAATGCCAGCGCATCTGCAGTCCCATAATGTCGAAACTCCATGCCGGCAACAAGGGCAAGCCATCGATGGGCAAGGGTACCCATCCCACTGTGGAGGAGGTGGATAGTCAGTAATTTTCCAAAATAAAGTATACTTTCCTTTTCGTGTTCCAATTGCAATTTCTCATCCATTGTATTGAGCAAATCCTGTCTAACTAGAGGTACTAGCGTCCTTTCCTGCTGCTTCATTTGGGCAACTGATTTTCCGGGTAATAAAAGTTATGCTTTTTTAGACAAAAAAGCGCAAAGAAAACAGCAAACGAAACGCTCGACTGCAATGAATTGATTAAATGTTTTGCGTGCCATTTGAATACACGTTTCCAATTTGCATATTAACCCTTTGATCCCATGGGCTAGCTTTGAACAGCCGGTGGGGTTCTCTGGATGGGTTCCGATCAGTATCAACCGAATATCGCCGCGTAATGGTCGCGCCGAGCAAACTCCTGGAGCCGCCTCTGAATCGGATGCACTGCGCCATCCTGCACAGCCTGCCGGGCCAGAGTTGCACGAAGGCCCTGTTGTGGAATCTCTACCGCAACCATGTGTCCAGTGCCAAGTACTATTCACCCTTGTTGCTGGTCTGGTAGTAAATTGTTATTAGATAATAAGCTCGCAGTGAAATATATGAACCTTTAAATATGGGTCATTTAAACTATATAAAACATATATATTTTTAATGCATTTTCTTACAGTTGCCATTGCTAATGAATTGGCGAAAGATGTCTAAAAACATGCTGCTTTCTGTGGTCAAGAACTATGTTCAATCCGTCAGTTTTGCGGCCTGGATAAATGCCATTACCTTTTACTTGATATGCGTGGGAAGGCGTCTTAATGGTCGATTCGTATTCATATTCATACCATATCTGCCTTGCTGGATTGCCTCGCAGCTGAGTTGGTTGATGCCTCCTCAGGTTCTTCACTTCTTCGTGACTGGCACAACACCAGCAGTAAGTATTCCCATTTTCCTCAACGAATATTATACAATCGAACGCTTTTTCAGGCATTAGAAAGCCTAATGAGATATTTCCACTTCGGACTAGTACATTCACCCATGGCTCAAACTCTTATATTTATGATATGCTCAGTGATAGTCTTGCACTATCAGCAGACTCGGAAGTATTCTGGCTTCTGGTTCATCCGACCAGCTTCTTTGCCCGACGATAACAAGGACTGGACGATCTTGGGGCAAGTGCAGCAGGGTCTCAGGGAGTTGAGGTCATACCTGGGCATTGGACTGGCAATGGATCTACTCAATCCCTTGATGAGGCGAAACATAAAGCTCTTGCGCCCAAAGATGACAAGTTTCCTGGCGGGCTATATAGGCTTGTTCAAGGTGAGTCGTTGCAAAGTACAAATCTACATATATTCTTCCTAGCTAACGTTCCACCTTACTTTGTAGGTGGTCCAAATACTTTCGTTGAAAAGATTGAATGCAAATCAAGCCAACGCACTGGCTTCCTTTATAAGTGGGGCTTCGTTTGCCCTCGTACCAAATCGCCTGTCTTTCATGTGTTTCGCTTTTGTAACGGCCATCCAGGTCATTTGGAGCCAAGTGTGCGATACTAAAGATGAGAAGGCTCCGCTTTTTCCGCTTTCTGCCATGCGAAAGATTCCCTGGGCAAGACTGCTGATACCCTGTAGTTTGCCGTACCTGGTGCACATTTTCTTTTACCACCAAAGGCTGCTAAATGAGGTAGCTCGGAGTTTCATAGACTGCACATGTGATAAGAAGTTAGTATACCTTATAAATACCTTAAAAATAACGAAAATATATTCTCTTCTATAAATTTATTTGCAGTGGTCAACGATTGTTGGATCTCATCGGTCTTCCCAATGTAAACGCGATACTTAAAGCAGTGGATAGAACACCTAAAACATCCTTTTGGTTTTAACTTGCTAGCAAAATATATTGATATAAATATATAAAAATCGTAAACATTTTCAGAATATGTTATCATCAAATCATTTGCCTTACATAAGGCGCTTTAAACGACGCGCATAAATTATTGTTAGCATATCATAAACGTGTTTTGATTGTGGCAAGCATATCAGCTAATGACTACAGACGATAGAGATTTCTCCTATTTGGGAATGGCGATGTCTACAAAATAATAATATATACTTTTGAAAGAATGAGTTTATTAAATCTTTACAATAGTCATATGTAGATTACGCATCAGTAGCCAGCCAAATGTCGGAGGTGCAATCACCGCCAGGATAACGCATTTCGTGGGGCAAACTGGGACCATAGGGTTCATTGGCGAAGTCCACCAAGAAGCCTTCATCGAGGGACATTCCTCCATTCACAGTGTCCACATTAATCAGGACAATATGACCGCCTTGTGAAACCATTTTTGGATAGAACTAAAATGATATATACACTACATATGCTAAGAACCATACCTATATGCTAAGAATATTCCGTGTTAAGGACTCACCTGCTTATCCCATGGGGAATACAGAGATGACGAGACGTACAAGCGCTTGCCATCCAGGGATAGCTGCATCATTTGGGGACCTCCTTCCAAGCGTCGTCCGTTCACGTAGCGAGCCGGAGGTCTCTCCTGAAAATGAAGTAATTGCCTGGTAGAAGTACGAGTATTATAGCCATACCGCAAGTGTGTACCTTCAGTTCCTTATCTTCCTTAACAATCACATTTGGCAAATCACTGCATATGGCACCGCCAAGGAAAAGCTGGCCAGTCAGCTTAGGATTCTCGGGATCGGTTATGTCATATTGCCGCAGATCGCCATGTCGCCAGCAGTTGACATACAGAAATCGGTCGTCCAGGGAGATGATGATGTCCGAAATCATGCCACCCATATGTTCAGCTACTCCACTGCCGGTATCGACTAGTTTTCCGGGTATGTCTATTACCTTCTTTGCCTCGAACTCATCGGAGTCTGACTTCTTCGCGAAGTAGAACACCTTGGCATTGAGGGCACACCCCACGAATCCTTCGGCCTTTTTGGGATTGTGCAGGAATCGAATCTCGAGGGGAGTTATGCCGTCCGATCCCAGGTCGATGGTTTGGTAGAGAGTCTGCGTGGACCACTTGTAGAAGTTGAGACGACAGCCGTACTGAGACATATCCTCCAGGTCACCATTCTTCCAGCCTCTATAAATGGCATAAAAATGATTTCTATATTGTAAGTATTTAGTGCTTATATTTTTACCAACCGTCGCCATTTATTGGGGGCTCCCCATTCCGATGAAACCATCACATCGAAATACGGCTGATACCAGAAATCGTATCCGCACAATGCCTTCTTGTCGCCCTTGGTCCAAGTACCGATGCAATTGAACTCCTTATCGAAGAGAATAAAGTCTCCCTTGGCATATCCCTCTGCATCGCCCATCACGGATATCATGATGTTCCCATTGGCCAAACAGTGTGTGGTATGTGGAGCCGTCACATTGTGACTCTTCAACACATCGCCGTCAATGGTCTTGATAATCTCTGGCTTTCGGGGATCCGTAACCACATCGAGTATATATATAAAGTCGGAATTCAGGGACGGCAATACCAGTCTATCTCTTTTTGGCACCGTCTTGGAGCTCTCATCGACGTAATAACAACTGGAGCAAGCGTTCCAGCCAGAATGATGCAGTTCATCACCCTTACGATTCGTGAATGTACGGTGCACTATCTAAAAATTATATTAATAATGTTGTAAAAAAGGTTACAATCTGTAACACAATGATGTATGTACGTATTAGAACTATGTTACCAATTATCAGGTCGATTCTTAAGTATTATTCAAAATATATCCACACTTATTCCAAAATGATTGCGAATAGAAAAGTTACTGATTAAAATCCAATTGAGCTAATTATAATGTACATAATGGAATTTATTCATCAAGCAGTGTTGATACTTGATCAAGAATTGCTTTATTTACCTGACAGTAGGTGGGGCTCTCGGGATCCACGTCGACTGTGGCCAGATAATCGCCGTGGGGCTCATCCAAGTTGGGCTGGACGGCGACCGTGTAGAGGAGCTTCTCGCGGGTACCACTCCTCATGGCGTCCAGTGGGGTTGCGTAACCCGGTCCTCGGCAACAGGCTTAAGAAAAACAAATTAATTACAAAAATGGCTCGGGATTGTCTTTATCAAAGATTCAAGGCATGTGTTTGCAGTACAAAGTATGCGTATACGAGTTTTTTTTTTTCTTACTTTTATCGGACATTACTTTGCGGTTGTTGTCGGTCGAGGAACAGCGGCAAACTGAATATCAAACGATGTCGAGGGGCATCTTTATATATTGCGGCTCTCTGAGAGACACCTTTTCTCTTATAAGCTCTTAAAGCGTTTACTAAAGAGAACCGGTTCGGCCGGCTTTCTTATAACTAATACAAGTAAGGTCAAACACCGAAAAACAACGCCCCCAGAGATAATGATTCAAAATTTCTTAAAAATTAAAAATTAAAATTAAGCTCTCTTTCATTTCCCACATTAATTTTCCTTTGATTAATTATTTTTAATTTTAATTAGTATAGAAAAATACAAAAAAAGTGAGCAATTTCAGTTCTCTAATAAAATAAATAAAATACAGTAAGATATAGGTAAATATCTTAGCAAACAAATATAGCTGTCATTTAATAGTAATGAGTAAGTAATTGTGGTGATAAAGGCACTGATTACAAAAGCTATTTTCAAATTTTTTCAGCTTAACCGCAATTTGAAGCGTCCCAGGGCTGCAAAATAAAACGATATCGATTTTTCTTGGCAAGCGAGAGAGATGCGAAAACCCAACACATATCGGTATTCAGTATTTTTTCTGGTTTATGTACAAATGGAATGAATGGTATGAAAAGTTTTTTTTCTGAGCCAGATGGTATTAGTTCTTGATTGTTGCGCGGTCACACTGATTGCCAGGAAACATTTTAGCGCGTTAAAAAGTCACCGAAAAAGCAATTGTTATCCTCGTGGCGGCTGACTAGTCCACCGTTGAAGAGCTATATCGAATCAAGGATAACCTGATCCTGGACAGACATGTCGCATCACTACGTGGTGACGGCGCAGAAGCCGACGGCGGTTGTTGCCTGTTTAACAGGTAAGAACAAGAGTGAGGAATAGAGGGGCACCCTATGCGGTCTCCCCGGCGAAAACAGAAAGCAAGCATGTTTGCCGGTCGCCGGATTACACAAGCCAGTGCAATTAGTATGTTTGCCTAACACCGGCTTGTCTTTTATGCTCCTCAGGTAACTTCACCTCGCCCACGGATCTCAATCTGATCATTGCCCGGAACAACCAGGTGGAAATCGATCTGGTCACGCCGGAGGGACTGCGTCCCCTGAAAGAGATCAACATCAATGGCACCATTGCCGTGATGCGCCACTTCCGACCGCCCGACAGCAACAAGGACTTGCTCTTCATACTGACGCGTCGCTACAACGTTATGATTCTCGAGGCCCGCATGGTAAACGACGCCATCACAGTGGTGACCAAGGCCAACGGCAATGTTTCCGACTCGGTGGGCGTTCCCTCGGAAGGAGGAGTTATTGCTGCCATCGATCCTAAGGCGAGGGTCATCGGAATGTGCCTTTACCAGGGGCTGTTCACCATCATTCCGTTGGATAAGGATGCTAGCGAGCTGAAAGCCACAAATTTGAGGTAATTTCGGATATTTCAATAGTAGTTTTAGAGTAGTTTAGTGTGAATAAATAAGATATAATAATATATAAGATTTGAAATGTTTTGGACCTCAATATGATTGAGAATGAAGACAATGTATATGTAAAAAAAACTGGAAACCCGTGAAAGAAACAATCTGTCGAAACTAGTAATTTATAGTTTATAAATTTATAATTTAGTTGATCGCCGTAAGTAGCTAACGTATTCCTTCTTCCTTTAGAATGGATGAGCTGAACGTGTACGATGTGGAGTTTTTGCACGGCTGCATGAATCCCACAGTTATCGTGATCCACAAAGACAATGATGGCAGACACGTAAAGTCGCACGAGATTAATCTGCGGGAGAAGGAGTTCATGAAAATCGCGTGGAAGCAGGACAACGTGGAAACAGAGGCCACCATGCTGATCCCAGTGCCATCGCCCATCGGTGGTGTGATCGTCATCGGCCGGGAATCGATTGTGTATCACGACGGGAGCAACTATCACGCTGTCGCGCCGCTTACTTTCCGCCAAAGCACCATTAACTGTTATGCCCGTGTGAGTAGCAATGGATTGCGCTATCTGCTGGGCAACATGGATGGTCAACTGTATATGCTGTTCCTTGGCACCGCTGAAACGAGCAAGGGAGTGACTGTTAAAGACATCAAAGTGGAGCAATTAGGCGAAATTTCTATACCAGAGTGCATTACATACCTGGACAATGGTTTCCTCTATATTGGAGCTCGTCATGGAGACTCGCAGTTGGTGCGCTTGAACTCGGAGGCCATCGACGGGTCCTATGTCGTGCCCGTAGAGAATTTCACCAATCTAGCTCCGATTCTGGACATTGCTGTGGTGGATCTGGATCGCCAGGGACAGGGCCAAATCATCACATGCTCGGGAAGCTTTAAGGATGGATCTCTACGCATAATTCGCATAGGCATTGGCATTCAGGAGCATGCCTGCATCGATCTCCCCGGCATTAAGGGCATGTGGTCTCTAAAGGTGGGAGTCGATGAGAGTCCGTATGAGAACACTTTGGTACTGGCCTTCGTGGGACACACAAGGATCCTCACCCTCTCCGGCGAAGAGGTGGAAGAGACCGAGATTCCCGGATTTGCCAGCGATCTGCAGACGTTCTTATGTTCAAATGTGGATTATGACCAGGTGGGTTGACTGACAAATTCTATTATCTAGAATCATTTGAATTAATTCTTTACTTAATACTTCAGTTGATTCAAGTTACTTCGGACAGCGTTCGCTTGGTTAGTAGTGCCACTAAAGCTCTCGTGGCCGAATGGCGTCCTACTGGTGATCGTTCCATCGGTGTTGTGTCCTGCAACACTACCCAGATTGTGGTTGCCTCTGCATGCGACTTATTCTACATAGTTATTGAAGAT